TGTAGCGGGGGTGACGTCGGCGGCTCTCCTCCGCCGTGCAAGGTTCGTGTTTGCCTGGGCGGTCCGGTCTCGGGTCATGGGCGATGCAGTTGTTGCTGTCACCTGGGTCCCTGAGGCCGCCCTGCGCTGTTAAACTACGGGGGAAAATGCTTGTGACTGCTCTAGGAGTTTGTTCCGATTGTGCCGCCTGGCTAGCAGAGCCCGGGGGGCTACGCCGAGTGTTCAAAGAGCTAGCTACGGTTCGAAGAAGTCACGTCCAAGCAGTCACGTAGCATTGACTAACAGAGCTGGGAACCTGTTCTCTGGTAGTGCGTGTGGTGACGCTTACCAGTTACGTTGGTACTGCATGTTACCCCTGTTGCATAAAATAAACGCGTTTCATAAACTTGTAACGTGCTTTAAGTATCATTTATAGGGTCCTGCACGTTGGCTACCAGATTTTTTTTTCCCCCCTAACCATTAACTTTCACTTGTAAACGTGTAATATGTCTCATATTAACAGTTGATTTTCAGATTTACTTTGAAAAAGCATACAGGGATTTGTTCATGATTAAGTACAGGGGGCTTAAATCCTGTAAGTATGTTTTAGCAATGCTAACAGTTGTAATCTCTCCAGGTCAAAAAGTTTTCAGTTAACCCTTATTTGTGCAGGGTGTATCAACTAAAATTATCTTGGAGGCAATGCTTGCATTTACTGCGGGTCATAGAATCATTAGGTTGGAAAAGACCTCTAAGGTCATCAAGTCCAACCGTCAACCCAACACGACCATTCCCGGAGTGCCACATCTACATGTTTTGTGAACATCTCCAGGGACAGTGACTCCAAAAATGTGACTCTTAAAACAATCATCTTACTGTTTTAAGATATTAGAAATGTTTGGGGGAGGCTTTCTTCCCCATTTTAAGGATTGATGCACCAGCTCTAAAAAAGTTACTGTGGTGATCAAGTGTGTGCAATTTACCTGTTTGTAGTATAATTATTAATGTATTCAGATGTATGTAATGGCAAATAGCAAAATCTCAATGTTAAGTCATCAGTGATGTACCTACATTATCTGTGCTTCATAACAGATCTCATCTTTTTTCTGTAACAGGAAGCAGTACAGAAGATAGTCTGATGAGAGATGCATTCCAGTTTGAAGTACTGCAAACACAGCATGAAGAAATTAAACAGAAGGTTAGCAGTATCTTCCCCTCCCCTCTAAGTATCATGGGTTTTGATAGGGCTAACTGAAAGGTGGGGTAAGTTCAGTTCCAAGTATTTAGTTTTAATCAAGTTGATTAACAGTCTTTGAAATCCATGGATCTATTAAAAGCATCATACTAGAAACAGCTCTAGTAATATTAAGAGTGAGAGCAATATTTTATTTCTTGGTCATGTCAGATTAGCAAATCCTAATTTGTCAGTAGAAGGTACAAATGCCTGTGCCAAGTCTGTCGTTTTTTGGCAGACAGCTTAGGAAGAATACAAGACCTGAGCAAGTTTATGACAATAATTTACCAGAATAGTCTTTTAGCCTTTGTTGGAATTTCATGTAGGTACTTCCTGATCCAGAAATATCATACATGTATTTAATACCCTGTAGTGTATTTTTTAAAATGATTGTGTATTTGGGTTTGGATACCTTCTAGTGTGAAAGAGGTCTGTAGCTTAACAACACACTGTGTCAAGAAATCTCTCCTTTGATTTCATTTTGAACTTTGCACCTAGTGATTTTCAGTCGACGAGTCTTGGCAGTAAACAAGGAATAACTTGCGCACAGCACTCACACCTCGATACGCCTTTGTTTCCTCGCAGTTGTGCTTTCTCCTAGATGGGAGGTTCCTACTCTATTCACCTTGCTTTCATCACCTTTACCTCTGCTCCCTGAATCTTTCCCAGCTCTATTATATCCTCCTTTATTGGAAGGTCTGGTACCTACCTGTACACCATGTTCAACATGGGGGCAAGCCACAGTTTTACCTAGTGGTATAGAGGTGTCTTTCTGCTTTTTTCTCCATGCTTTTCTGAGCAACTCATTTATTATCTCTCCAAAGTCTTGTCTCTGAGGGTGATGGCTATTCAGAAAGTATTAGAGACTACAGATGTCCTGAAGATACTGTTCTGGGTGTGGTAGCTTGTCTTAGGACAGTGTGCTTGTTGGCTGCCATGCTAGATGAAATATTATAATTAAATTATCATTGTTATCACCTAAACAATGAATAAATGATTGATGTGTGTGACTAGAATACTTTTTCACAGAGAAGGGGAAAGACAATGGTCTCTGACAGACACCAGGATGGTATATGAAGATGTGCCTTTGCTGTCATTTCATGATTCTGTTAGAAAAAAACAGTAACTGAGCCTTATTTAATCAGAAAAAGATTAGAAGCAATATTGCAGAATTTCTGAACTGGGTTACAGCATTTTTCACCCTAGACTATAAATATACCTAATTTTCAACCACATAATGATATAAGTACATACTTTTGGTTATATACATCCTTTAATGGAATTCATCTCTTTGCAGCTGAAAGCAATGCAGGATGAAATTCTTACTAAAAATGGAGAAATAAAAATTTTGCGTGACTCAATGCAGCAGATGGAGCATGCTATGGAGGAACAGAGAAGATCATACATGATATTGGAACAGCAAAAATCTCAGACCTTGAGTGAAAAAGAAAAAGAGTTCTCCAAAAAGGTTTGTAAATATGTCAGTTACCTGCACGTCAGATGCAGAAGCTAATTTTATGACTCACAGACCATCTAGTCAAAGAACAATTCTGTGAAATTTCCAAACGATGTATGCTTTGATTTTCTTGTCTAGAACTTGCTGAGGGTTTTCTTCTGCCAAAATGAAAGAGTAAAATTCAAGTGGTAGAGGTTTTCATTTACTTGTTGCTTTTTTTTTTTTTGAGCAATCCCAAGAGCATTAAAATTGGAATGTATTTTAAAATGGAAAAAAGCGACAGAATATGCTTTATGACTCTGATCAGATTGCTATTCCTGTTGCAGTCATCTTTCTGAAAGCCCTGAAGAGGACAGTGGCTGCTTTTGTCCTGTTTACTCTGCTGTTAACAACCTCGCTGTAGTCATGCTCTGCGTGGCACTTGGTCTGTCTTAACGAGTCATATGCTTCTTGCCTGAACTTCTGGCACTTCGTTCTAAGATAGTACTAATTGGACTAGCATACATAAAAATGGAGATCTTATGCAGAGTTCACAATAAGTAAGTAGATGGTAACCTTGAAATCTTATGGTAATTCTAGTTGCTCTGCAGTTATAACACCTCTAAATTATTCAGTAACAGTAAAACTGTCTTCATAATTCCTCTTTCAGTTACTGTCACTACAGTCAGAGTTGCAGTTCAAAGATGCAGAAATTAATGAATTAAGAACACGACTTCAGAACTGTGAAAGAAATAAACAAGTTACTCAGTCAGTTTTAACACCAAGGTAGGAGTTTTGGGAAATGAGTTTGTATTCCTTTTTACAATAGACATGCTTGAACTATCAAAGGGGTTTTCTTTCTTCATGTAACTCTTAGCTCCATTGTCTTTAAAAAATACAACCAAAAAAGTCTGTTGACCTCTATGGAGCTTACTCAGAAGGAGCCTTCCCTGTATCTGTGACAGAAGATCAAAGAGTGTATAATGAAGTACCTTTAAAACATCAATGTAAATAGATTAAAGAATTACTGATTCATCTAAGTGTTTGATTTTTATTTTAGCCCTAAAAAGAATTTTGCAGTACAAGTGAAATCAGAAGGATGTTCTCCACAGCCTGGAAAAAGATCTTTTCCTACAAAGGAATCCTTCAATGCTGCAACGTCCACTAGACCATCACATTCTTCAGGAAATTTGATTGTCCTGACTGCTTCGATCAAAGAAGGTAAACCCATATACAACTTGCAACATTTAAGCTGTATATGAACATTCTGCCTTAGATAAGGATTTTTGTACTACGTGACTGTAAGTTCACCATAGAGAAAAACAAGTATTTGTTTTATTTTGTTTTTGCTTAAGTCTTTCCATTTTATACCAATTGGCATTATGACTGAAATTTGCATCAAGATCATTTTAATTCATACCTTGGTAATGCCTGTATACCAGATGCCAAGGTGTTAATGATGAGGTGGCTATTTGCCATAATGGAAACTTTCACTTTATGATGTGATGAACTAAAGTATCCAAATTGTTCATCTGCCTTTCTCACTGAATAAAGAACAGGAAATAATTTGCCTATCTCTTGAATTGGTCTGCTTGTCAGCTAATGCATTTTTTGGGTCCTTGTGGCTTTGGCTTTAAAGCTGGCCTTTTTGGGGATTTTATTTTAAAGTGTACATATTTAGCTATATTGAAAGAAGCAACTGAAATAGTGTGCTCGTTTACGCTTTTATTTGTAGGGCAGTAATTCTCACAAGATTGTATCTTGAAACTATTGAGTAAAGTTTAGGAAATTAATATATGCATGTATTTGAAGACTGCTATAATATCAAACAAAAATGGTGGGTTTTTATAGCAGTCAACTGCCATGTTTCCAGTAGGAAATAAGAAATGGAAGAAATTTAGATATCCTCAACTAATCCTTACAGGAAGAGACATGAAAAACCTGAGATGTTACTGTCAGTTACAGTATTCAGTCTGAAACTGTATGGGCAATATGAACTCCATCAAAAAGAGAAATACAGTAGCCTTAAAGCATTAGTATTGCTATTTTTCAGCCTCCTGACCGTTAGTTATGGTAACAACACTCAATATGCCTATTTGAGAAACACACTTGATTATTTGTCTTCTGAACCCTGCAAGGCTTTTGGCTTCAGTTAGGCTAGTAATTGTGACATGTACGGATGACTGAAAGATAATGAAATGCTCAATTTTAATTTTTTATTTTTTTAAAGAATTTCATGTTGATTTTTAACTAACATAATAATGTAAATCTCTGCTAGTAGTGGGAGTTCAACTTAAAGTATTGTTTTTTTCTAAAAAAAGTTGAGAGCAATAGCACTGAACAACCTGGAACATCTGACAATAAAGGTAAAATTTTACTCACTTTATAGTTTATTCTGGGGAGAATTCTACTTGCATCAGAGCTCTTACCTATTGTTTAACATACCTGAGTTATGCAAGACAAATGTTTTTTACTGGTCTACTGTCTGTTTACTTACTATGTAATAGCTGTGGCTGACAATGTGTGTAAAGGGTGGGTACAGACATATAAGCAACGTAGTTCTCATTAGACTCATAATTACTGTTTGTTTTAGACAGTAAAATAACTCATTCTGAAGTTTTATCCATGAAGCATGAAGGAATGGGAAAAAACGGTTCCTACAACTCTGTACCTAAACAAAATGTACAAGGTAACTTGATTTTGTTAATACAGAAATAGTGAGCATTTCTGAGGAACAGCTCAATGCCTTTGCTAAACAGCATCGTGCTGAGGAGCCCACTACGTACAATGCCACTGCACAGAATAGCGCTTTTCAGCTAGTCGCTTTTTGCTTTGAATATTGTGATTCTTGCAGCAAAACATTTCCAATTATATTACTGTCTGGTATCCTAACAATGTTCCTACATTATTATTCTGTTCAAGAAAAAAGTTTGCCTGAGTTTTGCTTTATGGAAGGATATGGATCAAAAGGTGTCTTATTACAAAGCCAGCTCTTTCAGTATTAATATATTGTGCTTTTCATTGTAAACTGATAAAAGAACAGGAAAAATATACTGTTTTGTGGGGTTTTTTGAATGAAGGTAAAAACAATAAAGCAACGTTTATAACAGTTAGCACCAGGAAGCCTTCAGGGTACTATTTTGTTTCCAATTCAGAATAGAATTATATCACATAATTTTCATGTCTGGACTGGAGCGTGGAGGGCAAGTCATCTGGATAGTTGGGATGTACGATCATTTGGCTTAAGCTATTTTGCTAATATGGGATTGTAATTAAAATATCTCTAAATATAATTTGGTTAATATTTAAATAATACCTTAATTTAATATTTCTGAAAATCATTCACTTGTGGAGAAAGAAGATTTGTAATGAAAAAAGTATTTTGATGTTGAGAGCACTATAAATAGGGCTAATCTTTTGAAATATTAATTCTTTGTTGTTATTGATGTTGCAGTTTATATGGTAAAGCTACTCCAAAGACAATTATGTGTCCTTTCAGGTTCTATCTTACTAAATGCACTGATGAAGCAGCCCATTGTCCCTGGGTCATTACTAGGACTCTGCCATCTTCTTAGCAGTAACTCTGAGCCTCTACCTGGAGCTGTATTGCAGCCTAACTGTTTGGATATGTAAGTTTGTGTGGGTTTTTTTGTTGAACTGTATCTGACATAGTCCCGGTATAGCAGCATTCTCTATACTAAGAAATGTTTATTCATGTAGGATAGCTCATTCCTTGTGTTAAATGCTGTTTTGTTTAGGCAATTTAATGCAAAATTGGAACATCATTCTGCATCCTTGGTTTTTAATCTTTGGCTATCATCGATACTAAACAGTGGAATAACACTTAAGAGATAAACTCGGTTAATTATATATTAGGATATTAAGGGAAGGCACAGAAACATGTTTTATAAAACCTGGGAGTGACTGTTGTTAGCAGCTGCTGTTGTTAACCACTTCAGGACATAAATGAGGGAAGCATATAAACATGATCATGAGTTAAGAGGGAAGGAAATGATGAAAATGTGATCAAAAGAACAGCAGGCTTTATATCTTCAAAGTCTACACTGTTCAATTTGTAATGTACGATTTATGTGCAATTTTCCAAGATACATTTATAGTGACCAGTAAAGCATTTTAAATATGAATATTGGAAATAAATTATAATAGTTTTTCACTTTAAAGAACTGGACGGTAGCTCCTGAAAAACCCCTGCTTTTCTCATACGTTATTATGTGGGTTCCCAGCAAGGCTTATGTCTCTTTGCACTTGCCATTTATGCAAGTAGAGGTGGTGCATTTGGCCTTTGTAGCTGCAGTTTGACTAGTTAATAGCTGAACTCCTCTCTCATCTCTGTCCAAGACAATAATTTTTTATTGTTCTTGTAGTCCTTTAAAGGCCTCTGCAGATCAGTAATGTACAGATACTTGTTCTTCCCAGAAGCTGCCAAGTAACATCAGGGGAAGATAATATATGACAGGTTATCAAAAGCATGAAATGTAGTTTCAGACAATGGCTTATGGTGAGCTGCTGAAGTTACTCAGTTGTAAGCTCTGTCTACTTTCACAAGACCTAGGAGTGCTTTGAAATTGCTCTTCCATGCAGGTGTCAAGGAGTAGGATTTTTTCCCCCCAATTTACGTTTTTGTTTGGGAACAGACATCTCTTATTATTCTAGCCTTTCTATTATTTGATTCAGAATATGGATACCTCAGATTTCAACTATGTTCTCTGCCTTTTCTTCTGAAGCATTTTCTGTCTTCTCATTTTATTTGGATAGGAAGTCCACACAAGTACCCAGCAGCAAGACAACTCAAGAAGAAATTGCTGCTCTTGTATCCCTGCGAGAAGCTCAAAAACTTGCAATAACAGGATTGAATTTGATTGCTATGGACGAAGGATTATCTGAAGCAAGCCCAAGAGAAAGCCAGAGAGAGTTCTTGTACCTCACACGCTGCAAGATCCGAGGCGCTGTGCATCTCTTGCCATTGGTAGAACACCATATTGGTGCATACTGTCAAGCGGTACAACTGGCGGACAAGCCAGTAAATGGTTCTTGTGGAAACCATTCGGCTGTTTCTTCCAGAACCAACACTAGTATAGTGTCAAGTAAGGAGGACTTCAGGTTGTCTCTTGAAGAAACTACAGTTATATCACTGGGTATTCTTTATTATTTGGCATTTTATAGCTGGGATGTTGTCCACACATTGCTGTCTGCTGAAGTGGAAAAAAGTTCTGCTGCCGGAGATAAACGGGTTTCCAAGATGGACAAAAATGTGTTGTGTGATAATAAGGAAGATACCAGGACACAAGCAGGGCTGCCTGTAGCTCCACAGGATGCTCCCAGTAACAATGAAGCTCAACATTCTTTGTTTAAAAAGCTACTTCAGGTTTTAGCTTTTTCTGCTGCAAGAGGCTCCCAGACGGATAGTATACTGAACCAAAGCCTCAAAGTTTTGGTGAAATTAGCTGAAAATTCAACAATGGACTTGCTAACAAAGTAAGTTAGTAATAGCTTTAAAATTATTTCACACTGTTGTTTAGCAGTTTTGTCTGTTGAAACCAATTTGTGCAGATGACAGTAGAAGTTTTGACATGTATGAGAGTATCACATTTGCCAGATCACTTTTGAGAAGGAGCTGAGGATCTTGCTACTGCCTTTGCCGCTAATGAATGTGATAACTGCCCCCAATCAGTAACAAGATTTGCTTATGATGTTTATATGAAGCAGATGCTGTTGCCTCATTGGCTATGCAGTTGATCAGAGTATCTATAACCTTCATTTGGGGCTTTTTGCAATTGCTGGGAGATACGTAAGGAATGAAAGCCCAGGGTCTCATTCTAGTAGGTAAAATGCCACTTTCAAAAATGAGGCATTTCATCTGCTAATGGTACACGACCACAGTATGAATTGCAGACTGACTGCCAAATGTATTGAGTATGTTTTTCAGTATACTTTGTACTTATGACACAAAGTTGAGATCACGTATGTTTTGAATGGCTAAAAAGGCACAAATTACGATGCTCTGTACAAGAAATAGTGTATTTTCAACTTGCTGGTGCATTTCACATTTCTAACCGGGTTTGGTTTGTTTTTTTTTTTTAAGTTTTCAGCACTTACTAAGTAGACAGATACTGCTCCATTGTCTGTGTCCAGAGACCCCTTTGCCTGCTGTCCTTTTGACCGTGAGACTGTTGACTATTCTTTCTCAACACCACATGTTGGTTGCTCAGCTTTGTTCTCATTCAGGTAACAGACTGCACAACAGAGAGAACTGATACCAGCTGAATGTTTGTGAGCATAACTAAATGTAATGCAAACAGGCCTTGCTCCAAGGTGTTAAAACCCCAAAAGGCAAAAAGCCTGCTATGTTACCTGAAAACTTGTTTTCAGGTGCAGTGTTTCAGTTATTGTTTGAAGAGTATTTTGTCTTGTCTTTCTACGTACAGTGCTTTTGATACCCATGTGGATTTTTAAAACTACTTTCCAGATTAATGTTTATTATAATGGTTGATGAGGAAAAAAGGGCTTTTGAGAATTCTTGAAGTTAAATTTCTCTGTGCTCATGACACTGTTGAGTTTAGGGATTCCAGTACTCTGTGTGACAAATAGTCTTTGTCCAGTTCCTTATGAATGAAGTAGGACAGTATTGCCACAAATGCACATATAAAGTTCAGGGAAACTAGTTTCTTCAGCACTGCTTAGAGGTCTGAAGTAAAGGAAGAAGCCAAGCCTGGATCATGAGTCCCAGGATAGCACTCTATGTGTTTTCTGAAATGTTTCCTTGTGCAACAAAACTAATTTTTGTCCTAAACAATTGACTAGTTGGGAAAAGAACAATGTTATCTCCGTTTCAGACACCTGCCTTCTTCTTGCACTGTACATGTATATTACATCAAGACCAGATAAATCGGCATCTGAAATGCTTTGGCTTCAGCTGGAAGAAGAGGTAACCACAGCTGTTTCTGTGCTTTTTCTTGCTATTTCCAGTTGGGGGAGTGGGAGGAGCAGGGCAATGCACACATTGTCCAAAACCAAGTTCTTTCTCCATCTGAAATAGAACACTGAAAGTATTTGCTTGCAGTAAGGATTACATTGATTTTTAAGCGTAGGTGCTTGAGACTGAATCAGTAACTATTCTTAGAAAGAACATCAGTGATAATAGTCATAGTTAAGTTACTGAAAAGGCAAGAAAGATCCTAGGATGGCTGTGAATGTTCAACAGTAAGCTTCATTTTGCTTTTAGATTGATAGAGGAGTAAAAGGAAGCAAGATCCAATTTGATTGTATTCATTAATTCTGAACTGTATCTTAGGAGTTATTACATATAAAAGTAGTGACTTAGGGTTCTATTCATTGTATTCAGTGGAAATGCTGTCTTGCTGTATAGTAGTCATGATTATAGATAGGAAGAATAGCATTTGAACTTAACTTGCATTGTTTGTACTGACAGGGGTGAATTGTTTGACGTTCTACTATTAGCTCTGCTTCTGCTCTCATTTGAAAGAATTTTGAACCATTTTCTTTATCACCCTACCTACACTGTTATATTAAGTGTAAACATATTATTTGTATGCAGTGAATTAAGCCCACATCACCTCATTAGCCTTTCTCATCGGAAAGCTGAAAGGATTTCTGTGCAAGGCAAATTCTATATCTGTAAAGTTTTACAGGGAAGAAACTTTAACGATTTTTTGGGGTAAAAAAGATCAACTGTTCAGAGAAAAAAAAAAACAAGAACATTTGAAACCAGTAGTGAAATATCATTCTGCCTTCCTTTATTTGCAGCTTAATTGTTTGATAATTCTGCAGAACCCTAGTACTCACTATAATGCAATCTGTGTGGTTTTGTAATAGACAGTGAGACTCCTGACAAGGTGTATGCAGTGTTCCAGTCCAACAGTTTTATTACCTGGTACTGACTGCCAATGCAATCTTGAGGTACGTCACTACAATGGCTGAGTTTAATCTACTGAGAACTTAAAGGTACTCAATGCTGAAATAGCTTTTTGCCCTTTTTTTAGCTACAATGAATCAGAAGCATACTACTGTACTTAAGGGATGCCACTTTCTAGGAGCTTGCTTTTGCTTGCTAGAAAATAGTCTGAAATTTGGAAGTTTGAAGAGATTAATCAGTAAAGTTCATAATGAAATAAGTTTTCTGCTACTACAATTTTACTTTTTTTCTTCTTCCAGGTGGTTAAGGCACTAATCATAATGTTACATAGACAGTGGATGAAGATTAGAAGATCTGAGAACAGCTCATGTGCATATAAGGAACAAATTATTCAGTTTTTACGGGATGCTGTTTTACTCTTACACAGCCTATCTCAGAAAGATAAACTGTTTCACGAACACTGTTTGGAAGTTCTCCATCAATATGACCAAGCCATGCCAGGCATAAGAGCCATTCTCAAAAAGACTCAAAAATTGAGTGCCTGTGAAGGTAAAAACAAGTCAGATTATAATGTTGGCTTTTTTCCATGCTGTAGAAATAGAAATTCCACTTCTGTCCCTTTCTTCATTTAACAAGTACCATGTACCAAATACCATGGATGTTTGTTGCTCAGACCCCTGAAGGCAGTCCCTAGTCTAGTGCTTCTCAGTATTCTTTATACTCAATCACTACTACTCTTCTTGAATAGTTTTATCTTGTTCTCTCCATAGAAATAGGGCCCTATTATCTGATCAAACAAAATCCTATACTCCAGCACAATCTGCATTATATGGTAGCTTATTTAAAAAAAAAAAAAAAAATTCACTGTTCAAAGTCTCCAACTAGCATTACACCTTCTTTCTGCATTGGTTGGTTTGTTTTTTTCCCTGCATTCTTAACATCTTTCTTCTTCCTCTTCTATCCCCAACCTTCCTTTATTACTCCAAAAGCTTCTCTAGCCCATGTCCATCAGGACTTGCCCCTTGCTTTGCACACTTCTGATGTCTGTTTCCTAGAGAGAGTTAATCTCATGAAATTGCCTCTCCTCCTTGTAGCATGATGCCATTTCTTTGTTCAGTCATGGCATTGTTTACGTGCCTGTTGTAGACTGTGCTCTTATGTCAGTATGGGGTTTGCTACAAGATATCAGACAAGGCATCTGGTCTTATTCAGAGCCAGAGCGATAAAGCCTTCATTGTTGGTGTAGGTATTGCATCAGTAAGGCAGGTCATGCAAGCATGCTGCTATTAGTTACAGTGACTTTTCAGGAGATGCTAAACAGTGTGCCATGTATTTATTCTACTCTGATTGCTTAGAGTGTCTCAAGGTTTTCTAGAGCTTTGCCTAACACTTTGTCTAGTTAGGCCTGGGAGTGGACCAATACAGTGTAACAGCTTGCGATGTTGGGGATGGTTGTGCACATGTGTGCTTGTAAACCTGTAGTTAGCATTCAGGCTCTCCCTTTAAAACACAAAAATACTATGCTTTTGTCCTAGTGCCTTTTTAAAATCAGTTAACAAAAAAGAGGTTTTAAACTTAATAAGTAGTCAGAACTAGTTGTGCCACTTACTGTTTTTCCATTAATTGCTAAATTTAACTGACTGCCCAAGATAGTTCTCTCTAATGCCTACAAAGGCATTAAAGAAAAAGGGGAGAAGTTTGTGTGACAAAACACATGTATTTAAAGACCTGTTTGCATGGAACCTTGAAAAAGGATATTTGCTGTAGCTTTCTACACTCAGTATGTTTTAAAATGCAAACAGGTCCCAGCTATAATTATACTATATCAAGTAGAAAAATGACTCTCTGAAACATGATTTTTTGTTGTTGCAGAGCTGACTTTGGATGAATTGTATCCTCCTGAGCCAGAAGCAGAAGACTAAGGAATGGACTCCAGCTAGATAACATCTAGCAAAGATCTCTGTCCTTCCTCAACTAAATCATCATAATCATTGCCAGTGTAAATCTGAAATTTAAATAATCTGTTTTAGTAAATGATAATCTAAAGGTTGAACTTAAATGCAGCACAACTAAGACACATTGTTGTGATTATGTTATTTAAGTGCCATCTAAATGTAGTTGAAAGCAAAGACGTTTTGATGTAAAAACTATACTGCAATGTATTGTTTTGCTGTGCAGAACCATTCAATGGCTTATGACTGGTTTTGTTTATGAATTTCATCCTTTACGAAACTGCAGTGAATGGAATGTAAGCTCACTCTGTGTTATTAATTTTACTGTGACTGCAGCTGAATATGATGCTGAATGTGCCAAGATGTTTGTGATCACTGCGTTGATATGAAAGTCTTCTGAACACATTTGTTTCTTTTGCAGCTGTGACACTTTCTTGTCTTCCAAAATTTTCATGTTGATATTAGTAAACAGTTTACTGTGATTTTAAAAACTGTTCTAGAAATAATAGTTGGCAGTTCAGTTCTGAGCAAGAAATTCAAAGGCCTGGAATGATCATCTGAGTTTCACTAATTTTTCTCAATTTCATGAATGTGCTGAAAGTGCACCTATTGAGATGCCAAAATAAAAAAAAATACTAGAACTTACTTTTTTAAAAGGTTACCTTAGAAGAGTTAAGATGGTAACGATGAGGAGAGCATTCTATCTTCCTGTGTGAGAGAAGGATATTTAAATGTGTGCAGAATGATGGGTTTTTTTGGTTGTAGTATCTGGATAGGTGCTGCAGTAAAGAAGAAGGAGCATCTCATTGCTAGGATACAGCACTGAAGATGGGAGGAAGAACTATTGCTGTACCCTTTCAAGTGTGTATGATTATCAGCTGTCATACTCAGCTGCAGGTATCAGCTGAACCTTAGACTCTAAAAAGGGATGTGTGAATGGTACTAAAGTGAGCCTCACAGGTTTGTATTTTTAAATAATGTGGAAAGCTTTTTTCATATTTTCTTTGACAGATACTTGATTCAGAACAAGCTTGGCTCCAGGGACCAGGAGGAAGAAGAGAGACAGTACTACAGTGGGAAGGAAGCTTGTGGAAAATTGGGAAACATCCAGTTTTCTGGTCATAACCCAGAGAGGTCGAGTCCCACCCTGGTGTGCCTGGGCAAAGAGCCCCACTCCAGTGTGCTGAACAAGCTCTTGGCTTGGCTTTTGCTTTTGAAGAGAACTTTCCCAGTAACTGCTATACAGGAATAACTAGTGTAATAATGCAGTATCTCCCTAGGGCCAAAGCTTCACTCCTTCCCCCCATAATACAGCCTAAGGCTAAGCGTCCTCCTTTGAGCAACAGCTGGCAGAGCTCCACCAGATATGGCCTGTTTGCTTCTGTAAAACACAAGCTGCCAACTGCGCCTCTCAGTAACAGGTTTGAGGTTCCTTGTAGCAGCTGGAGAACTGCCATTTTCCTGCTTAAATGGAGCAAGGAAGGATGCACAGGCACATAACAGCAAAGCCACCTGAGTCAGTGTATGCTTGCATGGTAAGCCTAGAACTGCCACCAGGCACTGGACAAAACACACTACAGAAGTTTCAGCATGACATAAAACCATTTGGCTTGTCCACGTAAAACCAAAAACAACAAAAAACCCCACAAACCACACACACAAAACACAGCACTTCCTGGCCTTTAGGATTAGAGAGAAGAGGCTGAGAATGGTAAAAGCCTCTTCCTTACTCAAAACCAAACTAAACATTAAGATAACTCTAAAAATAGCCCTATGAGCATGAGCAGTGGTAAAGCAGTATCTGGCAGTTAGTCTGCTGTGAGTAGCAAACTTAGAGCTGTGCTAACAAAGATATCATAGTCACAATATCCCAAAATGCACTGACCTGCCATCACTTTTCAACTGGTCTGTGCTGTTCTTGCCAGCTAATTTCTCCAAATATGATTTGAGTTTATAGAGGTAAGATGCATTTAAACCCCTTTGGATGAATAGACCAAATGAACTGTTAAGAGGAGTTTGGACAAAAAACAGTTAAGGAATTCCAAATTGTTGAAGCAATTCAGTTATACAAACTTGTTAAAAAAATTCCTTGCCTCATTTAAAGGGCATGTGTACAGCTACTTAGTGAAAGGGAGAAGTTTATTACCGCCAAACTATATAAACAGAAGTGTTATCTGTGGAAAAGAATGCTAGGAAAATAGCCCTAACCAGTCTCTCCTGGCACTGCATCCCCTCCTGTGCATGCACACAGTCTAACAGACAACACCCAAACATGTACATTACATCTTCCCACTTATAAGTGGTATAGCCTAGGCTATATGCAAATAAACAAACTCAAAACCCTACAACTTCACCAGTGGAAATGATAGTAACATCACAGTATTATGAAATTAAACTGTAGCTTTTTAAAAAGAAAGGCATTTTCTGCAACTGAAGAGTTTACGCTCCCAAGGAAAAATGAGTCTGCACTCCTAAAGAGAAAAGGCAGACATAGGTATACTTACAGAAGGGTGGTAATTCATTATTTGCCAAGTCATTTACAGTGACCATCTTTTGTCAGGATTATTGCAAGGTTATACTGACCGTCAGTAATTCCCTTTTTACACTATTTTGGGATTAGAGATCCAATCCTGTATGCAACAGCTGATCATCCCCTGAAAAAAACTGAAGCAGTTTTTACAGATTAAGGGGCTACTGGTTTACTGTCTTCATTACCTAAAAATAACAGCACTCAGGCTGTTCTCATCAGACCTCCCTGAAGAATTCACAGAATAGCAGCCTTTTTTTTAAGGCCAGTTAAGGTTTTCCCAACATGTTATAGATAAGCTGTGCCTCTCTATTAACTGAAAAAAGGAACTTACTCTGGCATCAAGCACAATCACAGAACTGAATAATGAAGTATTGAGCAACAACAAAAAACACTAGTCATGTTCTATGCATGATTATCACATTCCTCAGTCAGCAGCCAAGTACAGGGGCACGATCACTCCCCTACTGCTGGCCCCACTGTTTCTGATACAGGCCAGGATGCTGTTGGCCTCCTTGGCCACCTGGGCACACTGCTGGCTCATGTTCAGACAGCTGTCGACCAGCACCCCCGGGTCCTTCTCCGCTGGGCAGCTTTCCAGATGCTCTTCCCCAAGCCTGTAGCACTGTATGGGGTTGTCGTGACCCAAGTGCAGGACTGGGCACTTGGCCTTGTTGAACCTCATAGCATTGGCCTCAGCCCATCAATCCAGCCTGTCCAGATCCCTCTGCAGAGCCTCTCTACCGTCGAGCAGATCAACACTCCCACCCAATTTAGTGTCATCTGCAAACTTACTGAAGATGCACTCGATCCCCTCATCCAGATCATTGATAAAGATGTTAAACAACACTGGTCCCAATACTGAGCCCTGGGGAACATCTGCTTGTGACCGGCTGCCAGCTGGATTGAACTCCATTCACCACCACTCCCTGTGCTCAGCCATCCAGCCAGTTTTTAACCTAGCTCAGCGTACACCTGTCTAGGCCATGAGCCACCAGCTTTCTTAGGAGAATGCTGTGGGAGACAGTGTGAAAGGCTTTAGTAAAGTCCAGGTGGATGACATCCACAGCCTTCCCATCATCGACTAGGCGAGTCACCTGGTCATAAGCAGGACCTGCCCTTCATGAACCCATGCTGGCTGGGCCTGAGTCCCTGGTTGTCCTGCACATTCCCTCAAGATGAACCGTTCCATAACCTTCCCCAGCACCAAGGTCAGGCTGACTGGCCTGTGGTTCCTCAGATCCTCCTTCCAGCCCTTCTTGTAGATGGGTGTCACATTGGCAGGACTCCAGTCGTCTGGGACCTCCCCTGTTGACCAGGACTTCTGATAAATTATGGAAAGTGGTTTGGCTAGCTCCCTCAGTACTCTCAGGTGGATCCCATCTGGCCCCATAGACTTGTGGATGTCCAGGTGGCAAAGCAGGTCTTTAACTGATTCCTCCTGAATTACAGGGGGTTTATTCTGCTCTCAGTCCCCATCTTCCAGCTCAGGGGGCTGATTACCTTGCGGATTGCTTGTCTGACTATTAAAGACTGAGGCAAAGAAGGCATTAAGTGCCTCAGCCTTTTCCTCATCCTTGGTGAAAATATTCCCCTCAGATCCAATAGAGGATGGAGATTCTCCTTGGCTCTCTTTTTGTTGTTAACGTATTTGTAGAAACATTTTTTGTCGTCTCTCATGGGAGTGACCAGCCTCAGTTCTAGTTGGGCTTTTGCCTCTCTAATTTTCCCTCTCCATGACCTAACAAGCTCCCTATACTCTTCTTGAGTTACCTGCCCCTTCTTCCAAAAGTGGTAAACTCTCCTTTTTTCCCCGAGTTCAAGGAAAAGCTCCCTGTTCAGCCAGGCCGGTCATCTTCCCCACCAGTTTGTCTTCTGGCACACAGGGACAGCCTGTTCCTGCGCCCTTAAGACTTCCTTCTTGAAGAACGTCCAGCTTTCCTGGACCCCCTTGCCTTTCAGGACTGCCTCCCAAGGAATTCTCTTGACCAGTGTCCTAAACAGCCCAAAGTTGGCCCTCCAGAAGTCTATGGTTGTGGTTTGGATGACTCTCCTCCTAACTTGACCAAGAACAGAGAAGTCTATCATTTCATGGTTGCTAAGCCCAAGGCAGCCTCCAACCACCACATTTCCCACTAGTCCTTCTCTGTTCGTAAACAGCAGGTCAAGTGAGGCACCTCCCCTGGGAGCCTCCCTTACCAGCTGTGTCAGGAAGTTATCTTCCACACACTCCAGGAACCTCCTGGACTGTTTCCTCTCTGCTGTGTTGTATTTCCAGCAGACATCTTGTAAGTTGAAATCCCCCATGAGGACAAGGGCTAAGAGTGCGAGACTTCTGCCAGCTGCTTATAGAATGCCTCATCTGCCTCTTCCTCCTGGTTGGGTGGTTCTATAACAGACTCCCAGCAGGATATCTGCCTTGTTGGCCTTCCCCCTCATCCTTACCCATAAGTATTCAGACTTGTCCTCATTTATTAGCCAATGCATTCAAACTTCAGGCATTTCATTTACTCCTTAGGCTAGACAAGGCTTAGAAGCAATTCTTTTAGATTAGCTTTGAAGCATACTGTCAGAGTACCATTCAGGAGTTTATATTGTCCTTGGTTTATGTTGTGACCTGCAATTTTGATTAGGCTTCAGTCTCCACTACCAAAAGTGATATTCATGATACAAGGTGACTTAAGGTACACTTGGTACACTAGCTGTCAAACACAATAAAGTAAAATGTAGCTTTGCAGATACACTCCTAAGTAATACTCAAATTGAGGCTAAGAAAACAAAAAATTGAGATAATATACTTCAAACACTGCATTTATTAAAGGTGCATAGAGTTTATCCCATTTCTTTTGAATACTTACATTTAAACCACAAACAATATACAAAGCTAGGTTACAGTATGTAATAAAATCAACAACGATTACCTAGTAAATTCAGTAAAACAGAATATTCTACTGTATTTAATTCCACAAAACATTTCTGAAACAAAGGCACTTACAGAATGAAAAAAAATAACATATACTCTTTCAACATTTAAAATTTTAATTCCATTCCCCCTCCCCTACGGCACTGCGGATAACTACTTTGACATGAAGGCAATAGCTACTTGGACTGACACATCAGCAGTGCTTAAACTAAAAGTTTATGGATCAACTTCTCCATCTTTTCTGTAACAATTCCATTCCTTTAACTATATGAAACCAAGTTTCAACAGGTTGCATAGCAACAACTAAATAAAATTTAGTCCTACACCTTACTATTACTGATGATTAATACACCGACAATAAGAAAATATCTGATTAACTGCTCCAATTATGAAGTAAGTGGACCACTTTCTCTTCTTTCAGAAAGTTTTGTAACTGAAGTAGTACTATTACTACTAAAGAGTTCCTTGTATATAAATGATTCATCTCTTCACTTGTATATAGTTATCATTAGCATATGTTCACTGAAGGAAAGGTGTAAATTTTCAGGTTCCTTAACCCCATCCCTCATCCTCTTCTACTGGCTCCACAGACAGTTGTGTTCAGGGCAATGTGTTCTGTCTGTACAACATCTACTCCAAAACTTCAGATTTGGGGACCTCTGTTATTGTTGCCACTTTACTTTCCTACTATCTTTTCCTTAGTGATGATGGCAGATGACTGAGCCAACTTCACATGAAATTGCAGGTTTTACTTTCATAATCAAAACATAACCCTACTAATGCTGCCATGAAATGTACGCTTTATGACATCTGATGGAGGAAAGGAAGAGCAGTGCCAAGTAACAACCTCATCAAGCCCAACACTAGAACACTGTACCTATGCTCTGCGAGCTGCACAGAAGCCGTGCTTGCTGGCTGCATCTCACTGGCCAGGCTCCATCCAGGCAGCTGGCTAACAAGGTGCTGGAACAGTCTCTGCCCTCCTTCTATATGAATAACACACAGGGTTAGCATCTATAGCAAGGGAATTGTTTCTGCAGTTATTCAGTGGCCTCCCATACATAAAAAATCCAGATTTCTAAGGAAACACTTCATCCTCCAGACAGGAGACGCTGTCCATTTTTGGTTGTTCTCACATAACTCCTAATGTGTAATGAAGCATTGCCCAATTTCTTGGCAGGAAAGAGGAACACACAGATACAGGGTGTGCAAACTCTGTGAGTGCCTCTGGGCACCGTTTCAAGCTATTACCTTCAACACTTCTAGCGAGGTGGATGAGTGGCATAGGTTTTCATAGTATAGAAAGTTTTTAGCATTGGGATGCTAAAAGTTTCTTCTGAAATGCCCTGATGACTTTCTTGAAAAAAAAAAAAAGAACTGGAATAACCCAGAAATAGACTCAAAAATCAGGAAGAGAAATAAGGCTGCCATTGAGAGCAGCAGGTTCCATCCATCATATGAGGTAAACCAATGCCACCATCAATGTTTTTCAAACAGCAATATACCCCAAATGTAGAATTGGAGAACAAATGGCTTAATGGCCTCTAAAAAAGTAAAATCAATGTATGAGATATGTCAAAATTATTTCACAAAATTAATATTTCAAAATTATGTCAGTGATACACATACAACACACTAGATAGCTCTACTGACGAATAACAAATTGTACTTCAGTGTTAGAAAAGACATAATTGTAGAGGACACTAAAAAAATAATGACTTGTTTGATCAATACAAGGTGCATACAAGCCAAAAGCCTTGGAAACACTGGTAACGGTCACGAGGGTGTCTCAAGACGTTTCATGACTGCAAGCACTACCTTCTTGAAAATACATTACCTCGTTGTGACCAAATCCTACCAACACTTCCTTTCCCTGACTTCTCGTTCTCTGCTGAGCTTTATGGGAATGTTGAAGACAAAAGGGAGGTTTAATCTCTACTGTGTGGGGGGCTGGGATTTCTTATCCCCCTTGCATATTATTAGTCAAATGCAGACTGAGTTTATAAAGATCTATCATTCCTAGGTTCCTGCTGTCTGTAGTTCCCACTAGAGACAGACAGTGACAAACACTAAGCATTTAAAAACCCCAATCTATTGCCGACATTCCATCCCTCCTGTAAAATAAATTCCTTCCCTATCATGAGGCAGGACTGAACACTGGCAGGTACTTCTGCTTAACATATGATTAAGCTGCTAATTTTTCTTCCAAACTCATAAACAACTTACGACTTAAGTAAATTTGTCCAATAACACATGGACAACAAATGTCCAATAATTTTTATGAAGAATTCTCAGGTTTTCAGCTTTTGATCTATTTGTTCTACTAAGTGGCAGACAGTTTGGTTTTGTTGTCAAATTCTAGCTATAAATTAAAATGGCCTGAGGAAACTCCCAATGAAGGCACAGTTTTTAAGCCTTAAAATTGGAAAGAAACAAGGAAATTATCCACTCATGCTATTTAGCACAGAAAAATGCAACTAGTCCAAAGACAATTAAGTGTTGTTCGCTACCCCTTACCGAAGGCAAATGTGTTTCAAAAAAGGAAAACTCCCTTTTGAATGGTAAATGAAATGTATTGTATTGCAGCTTACCTAACAATAGTAGCTTCAAAACAGGCAGAACATACAGAACATATATCAGGTAGTTTCTCAGAGATTAAGTTTTTATGTTTTAATACTGTGCAAAAGATTGCTACAGCTTTGGGTGTTTGATAATGCTCATATTAGACCATTCCTTTCAAAATTATTGCACAGCGAATGTTATTGTGGTTCTTACATCTGAAGTACTCCTTCTTCATGCTTTTCTCATTGCATATAGAATGAAATCTCTTTTTGTAATTGCCTGAGGTATAAGTTAACAACTTCTGCAAGAAAAACACTTCTTCCTCATACTCAAAGCATTTAAAAAAAAAAAAAGACACTGAATTAACTTTCACTTTACTAAGACAAAAGATTGCTGTCTTCCAGAAAAATGTATTACAGTTACATGGAGTAAACAGCACAAACTATACTTTAAAAAGTTCTGTATGCAGAAGTATAGTAGAAGATCTTTTCAATAAGTGGGTTTCTGAGGATCCACATAAGCAGGGTTGTAAGGGGGTTGGCTGATTGGGTAAGGTGCTCCAGCACCAGCTGCAAAAGCAAAACACAAGAAAAAACAGATTTGTGAAATTTACATTCTGAATTCCACATCTATAATGGCAATTTCTGTTTTGAATACACGGTTAACAGCTTCAACTTATCTAACTGAATTGGACTTGAGAACAGTTTGTGCTAACTCATAAAGCATCCCCATTTCAAAAGTAAGATCACAAAAACCTTTGGTTCTTGTGGTTTGTTGGGGGTTTTTTTATGCTTAAGTGTATATGTGTATTTGGCAGCCACAAGGACATGGTTAGCCTGCAGGGGAGAACGTAGTCTAAAAGAAAGGAACAGATCTGGTCCAAAAAAACAGCCAGTGGAAGTCACAGATGCACAAACAACAGGATATACCTGATAGTATGCTGAGAAGTGAAAACAACTGGGCAAAAGAAAAAGGACTAGAGAAAGCATCTGAAGATTCCTTCAGGGAAGATGCTTTCTTGGTAAGTGTCATGGAGTTAATTAAAAAACTAAAATAAAAGGGAAAAAAGTATCCCACCACTACTGAGCACATTAAAGAGTTTGATTTATATACTAGATGCCTATTCATTCAGATGATATCCTTATTTTCTTGTATTCTGAGACAAGCTGCTCAAGTGGCATCTTCATTTTCAGGTCTGTCAAATAGCACAGGTTAGTTCAAATAACGCAGCACCTGATCAGATCCGTGGAACATACAGGTGCGGTTATCTTTTGCTGATCTTGTAAAGCGAGTAGGTTTGACTCCTGTGTGACAGAGCAGGTATTCTCTCCTTTGCATGTGACCTAATTAAGAGACTGCCCCTTGGTTAATAGACATGAAAAATAAAGGAAAGAGCTCTGACATTGAGGCATTCTCAATGGGCAACATGGAAAGTGCTTCAATATTTTCCCAGAAAAAAAAAAAAAAAAAAAAAAAAGAACTCACCAACCAGCAACAGTTTGAGAAACTAGAGGGTAGGAGAAGCAAAATGACTAGATTATTTGCTATCTCACATGATAAAGATTAAGCCAAAGCACTTTGGGGTAGTCCCGTAAAACCCAGAGCTTCTTTAGAGTTTAGAACAGAAAAATAAAAGTCAACAGGTCTGCCAAGTCAGTGTCTTTACATGCAGGACTCATTTCAACATTGTTAATGTGCAATTTCTAACTGGTTTACAAATGCTTAAGACCATGAACAGCCATTTTATATTTGAGTTGTCACAAAAGACTTAGTTTCTAAGGGCATTATCTACTGTTCAGGACTATACTTTGCTTGTTACTTAGAAGGATGGACAGTAGTTTGTAAGAGGGCTTGAAGATCCTAGGACAGCTAACAGCCTAGTTTTGGCCTCTCTCAACAGCTAGGAGCCAATTGTTCAGCGAACAGCTATTACCAGCAGAAGTGAGAATTAGTAATAGCAACAATCAAGCTGCATGAAAACAATGCTGTGAAAGAAGGAAAGCAGAAGAAAAAAAGATTCTGACAATTCTAACTGCTAGTCATCAGCAAACTTGTGTGAAGTTGATCAGAGACTCGGTATTCTACAAACATAGTGATGAAGTACTAGAAGATGCCATCTGTGTATAGACTGAAACATCTAGCAAATATTAGATTAGAAAGGGCATGTAGAAACACCTAAATACTATACATAGGTTAATTGGACTTTGATCTTAATATGAAATTTCAACTGAATTAGTAAAACAGTCTACCAGATCCACTGACATTCCACTGGTCCCACATCCCACCAAACTTTGCCAATACAGCTCCAGATCCCTCTCCTCTTGCAATGCTTAACATAGAAATGGTAATGGGGAAATTTCAGCATGGGTGAACTACAGCATCCATCCTGAGTTTTACATAATTTGTTTATAATTACATTAATATAGTAATGGAAAATAATAAATGTAAAAAAATAAAAGATTGACTTCAAAGCAACTGTGTCTGTAGCTATTTAAGAGATGAAGAAACACTTGGTGCTGCCTTACCTGTCACTGTTTCACGATAAGCTGGGGGTCCTGACGGCTGCATGGGGTAAGGGGGAGGATACTGTGCAGGGTACGGTGCTACCGTTGTGGCTGGACAGCCACAGGCTGATATCCTTGATAGGGGGCTACTGGGTAGCTGGGTGGCACTCCTTGTTGTTGGGGATAGGGAGCATGAACCACTGTAGTGGAAGTAGTGGTGGCCACAACAGCTACAAGCAAACAAAAGGAACATGGTTAGTGCTGGTGATTCTCGGAGATCACCTGGGACAGCCCACAACAGTAATGTAAAAAACATTCTCTCTTAAGATCAATTTCTCACTTCAAAATCTGCATAATTTCATTTTCAAAGTTCCACTGAAGATTTAGAAATATATGCCTCTAAATATTCTTCCATTGATCTCAGTGGTAACGACAGCCTTCACATACTGGGATAGCAGCCAACTTATCTCCTTGTTTCTCAACCACAAAGAACAAAGAATTTTTTTTCTTGGACTCTTCGAAAACCAGGAACTCAACCCTGCAAGCAGGTTATCTATCATTTGGTATGAGACTGCAAAACCTGCTCATTTTTAAATGACAGCTACTCTCAAGGACTAAGGTGATAAAGGTCTCCTTTACTAAGTAAGGAGCTTCCTACCATGACTGCCCAAATGATTTTCCTTTTGTATGTTGTCTACACACTAATACATCCATGTGTTAGTATGTCTTTCACTAAACAAGTCAGAAAGGCAAATACACATTGAGCCATCAATTTCTGTAGGAGATGATGTTGGATCACTGGTTGATACCTCTTATTGGAATAAGCAAGTATCAACACTTTCTAATAAACTGCAATAATTTCTTTCAAAGATCTCCTTTCTCTTTATGCTACAATTATAGACTTTGCTCAAGATTGCACTGCTACAGTCCTGGGCCTTTGGTGTATTTTTCAGGTATATTTTTAAGAGACTGGGAAAAAATTTAAAATTTCATCCTATCCCCTGCTTACCTAAACAAACACCATCACCCCGCCCCCAACCCACATATTGCAGGGGAGGGGAAAGAGAACTTCAAAATGCTTAGAAAATATTCCAAAACATCTCTCTGCAACTTCACATTCTGAACTAGCTGAAATGCTTATTTTTAATGTTTAGGTATTGCAACTTCTGTAGCAGAAGTAAGGCAAGATTATTTTCACCTTTTATAGGAACACAATTTTCTGGGGGTGGGGGAGAAAGTCTTGTTCAAAGATGTGAAAAAGAAAATAAATAGACGCGTACTTACGCTGTGGTCTTCGACATGCTTTATACAAACAGCAACATGAACAGGTGAGGCACAGAATAATAGTAATTATAATCACTGCACAAACAGTAACTCCAATCGCAACAAGGGTTCCAAAACTGCAAAAAAGATACCACCAGGAGCAGTAAGAGTATTTTCACATTGGTTTTCCTCCAATTTGTTACTCTTACTACTTCATGCATTTGAATAATAAACAACTGTCAAACGCGGTGCTACCTGAGGTCAGGTTTGCTAAATCAGTGGAAGCTGACCAGCCCCTATCAAGGAACGTGTTCCCCTCTACATTAAAAGGGCCCAGCGCGAGTCTTTGGTCCCTCTCATTTTAGTGTGACTCCGATTCCTGTTCTTTTAGTGCAACTGTGTATCCCTTTATGTATTCCAAAAGGTTACAGGGATAAGGTTTCATAATCACTACAGTTTGATGACTTAATTTTCCAAGCATTACTTGACTGCTCTGAACACACAGGTATGCATGCCTGAAATGAAACACCCCAGACTTTGGGGTGAAAGCGAGTTCTTTGTACATCTGTAAGACCTCCCAGGCCCAATCCCGGGACAATCTTTGTACTTGGTACTGAACAGACCTCTTCACGCTGTAGATTCTTGGCAGGTTCCTTGGCATTTGTAAACAGTTGTTTGAGAAGGCAAGTTTCATACGGTTTTTGAAAGATCTGAAATTCTGCCACCTTTACTGCAACAATGAGTATGTTATGCTACATTATAGGAGACAGAAACATTGCCTAAACCACCAAAACCTAGGGCCGATAGGCCAAAGATTACATCATTTTAAAACTCTGTAATGAGTATCAAATAATGAAGGCAGATGTAAAGTTTCCAAAGACAACTGTTTATGAGTTCTGTTTACCACATAGGAAAGAATAAGAACTCTGCAAAGCATTAAATGCCCAATGACAATTCCCTTTTAGGTGTTAATTTACATTACTTGTTTCCTACAATCTGAAATCAATAAAGCCCTTCTTCCCTAGAAGCCAAAGTCTCCAGCATTTTTGTTTCTTATAAAACGCACTACACGTCAGTTTTGGAACAATAGCAGGAAGTCAGTTTTAATGAACAACAAGCTCTAAAATAACGAGTACAGAGATGTTTTTATATCCATCCTGGTTTTGCTTCCTTGTAGAGATTTTGGCTACAGTACTTTCTAGTTTTTTTCCTGCTCAGCTCCTGTTAACAGCTTTAAACAAAATTACACATCTCCAGAACCTCCAGCAATTTTCACTTAGCTACCAAACAGCCATCAACTGTGAAAATTGGTTTTCAGTATCAACGACACTGGAAGGTTAAATCAATGACATCAGAAAACGCAAAGTGCTCTATCACTAGCCCGAATTTGGAAGACTTCACCTCAGTCTTCTAGAGCAACTTAACCCTCAGTAAGATGGACATTGAATATAAGCATTGATAAATAAAACAGGTTCAATTTAAAATGCATTTTTCCCCCCCTAAGAAAGGTTCTATCAATTTTATTCTGCAACAGCTAGAAGAAAAAGCTTGGGTCAAATCTCTTTCAAGAATCTGAGCAACTATTTTATGTAACTGTATCTAAATTCTGCACTGACTTCGTGAATATAACACTACAGATTTACCCCTCAAGTACTAAATCTAATACTAATGGTCACAGCATTTACATGTTAAAAAAAGAAGCAGGAACTGCTCTGCCTCCTGAAGTCACAGAAGCCACGTCAGAAGCACAGCCAGGAAAGCACACAGATGATTGCAACACAGCTGCAAAATGTAAAGATGTGTGCATGCTTTGTCACATTTATTTGCATCTTTACAGAATGTTTTTCATATGCTGACTTGCATATGCAAATGTATTCCTAACCATGCCACTTTGAAGTCCTCCCCCCATCCTCACAAGCATTAGCTTCACTTCAACACAGTAAGTTCACAGCCAGCTCATCTCCATCCAAAAATCCCACTTCTTTCAAGCCTGATATAAAAAGGAAGACATAAATGCAATTTCAAGGGGGGTGGGGGGTGGAAGAGAGATAAACGTGCACAATGATACCTCATCCTGAAACACAGGCTGCCTCCTGTCCATGAGCCCAACAGCAATCATAGTCTGAAAACACAAGCTGAATACTCGTGTATGTGGAAATGGTTTAGATCTATGAGTGACCTGTGGAATTTAGATTAATTATACAGAGTCCTTACTAGATACTCATTATACAAATTCATATAATCATTTGGAGAAGAATAAGTGAAGTGTGAACAATGGATCATTCCTTAGATTTAATTATCTCAATCAAAATATTCACAAGAAACAGCATTGGACACCTGTACAAACCGCATAACAACACATGTTGACTACAATTACTACTACTTGTGGAGTGTCAACAGCATTTTCCTCGCTCTTGTTACCACTTTTGTACCAACCCTGAGAAAGCTCTCTCACTAGGGAACTTAACATTTCCATTACACACAATTATTACCAAGCAACGTCAGCAGAGACAACAAAGGAAAAGAGTCTTCTAGGTCCTTCCCCAGCTTTTTCCCCAGTAAAGATGGAAAAAATTTTTTTGCAACTGAGCTACACCAAGGAAAGAAATTCTTGTCTCAAGGAAAGAGAATAGGTCTGATGAAGAAAACTAAAATTCTTCACTTCTACAGACAATCTCTTTGATCTTTAGCATGGCTGGGCAAAATTGAACAAACCTAAGAAATGGAGAAAACGGACAATGTGCAGAAATGTCCACTCATCATAAACAAACGAGCACAGCAGGAAACTGGCAGAGTCCTCATCTTTCACAACCAAATTCAGTTCTGATATGACAAGAGAAAAAATAGCACATGCCCATCTGCAGCCAAGCTGGCCACCAACAGATGAACATTGGTCAGTTTGAAGCACAGGCTCCATTTGCTTATTCGTAATAAAGTTTTCTGCTCACTGAAGCACATACCTCATTGAATATTTACTATCTCTAATAAGGAAAATGACAAAAGCAAAGCTCAGGGAAAATAACCTATCATAACCTTATTTTCACCAAGTTGTTAGAGACATCCTGTGCATTTTCATCATTTGCCTGTGTCTTTGCTAAAATGACACGACCATGGCACAACGACTTTTTGCATATATCTTTTAAAGAGCTAAATGGAGACACATATTTAAAGTACAGGTGCGTCAGGTGTACAGACTTTAGAGTGCAGTTCTGTGTCTGTGTGTGCGAACACTGTGATTCAGTTCTACTCACTGAAATACTGTGTAATTACTACAAACCAAAGTCATAAGCCTTCAAAAACAGCCCAGCAAATGAAACAGACTGGAGCTAGTTCTTCCCAGAGTTTTGCAAGGAGTATACACAACTGGATTACTGTAGACATTTTTATCACCTACTTTACAGCAGAAGCATAATTTTCCTGCCAGTGCTTGGGCTCATGCAGAGTAATGTCCTGAAACAGCAAAAGGCAGCGTGACACTTAGGGAAAACAAAACAGTATGTGCTATCAGCTTGCAACTTGCTGTATCAACACTCCCTTTCAACAGCGGAGCTCTTAAAAAATTTTTTTTTCCTAACAATTTCTATTGATAATTAAAACTAGCAATACTCTTTCGGAATAATTGAATGGTTAAGCACTATGTTACTGTAATAATGTCTGTCCTCTTACTGCCCAAAGAGTAATACCCGAGCACTTCTTCCTGAACATTTAGTAATATCCCACTAGCAAAACTACTGGAAGGCTACCAGTAATAGAAGACGTTACTCAAGTGAGGCCAGAGGGTGCTCAGCATACTCAGTGAATCGTCTAAGCTAGATATCTCTAACCAAGATAAGATATTCCAGATACTGCATAAAGACTCTCTTGCAGTATGCTAATTCCAGAAAGCCTATACTCCTTTCTTAAACGAAACTATTGCTTCATTTAATTGCCTTTCCTTGATGAATCTGTCTAAAGGGACTCTGAAAATACTTGGAAAAAAATACAGTCACATTAAATGATAATTTAATTACCAACTGTTAGCATTATACCTAAAGGAAAAGAACAGACATGAGGGATTGTAGCTTAAAGATTCTTCCACTGAATGGTTAATCAAGCAGAAAAAAATAATAAGCAAACATTAACCCAAAAAAGACACTTTACACCCTGCATTCTGCAAACAAACATTAGAGTGCAGACATCAGGGTGGCCACAGAATATTCTGCGGGCATCACAGTTTGAACATGGGTTTCCAGACTCACACATTATATATATCATAGTCTCTAAATAAAGCACATACTGTTATAAACAGCTTGAGCTCATTCACTGCCATTTCCTGCTTCTTTCTCTTCACGTAAAAAGCTAACTTTTGCCAATAATTTAACAGAAAACAAAACCAAACGTAACAGCCGTTTTACTGTAGCAACGACAAACTGCAACTTCTCATAAAATCCATGGGAAAGTAAATATGAAGAGACAACTTCCTGCTCCTTCCTACCACCACCTCCCTCCTTCCTTGCCCTAATCCACTTCTACCCCTATTCTCTCACCTTTGGAAAGCACTAAATTGTATGTGCAATGAGCATACCTTGCAGATTCACCTCACCTTTAAAGTTGTCTAATTATTCAGAATACGTACCAGTTCACAGAAAGGGAGTTACATGATTAGTGCGTTTCACCCCTTTTGGTACTGAATGAGATGCAATGGGCATATTAAAACGGGAGACTCAAACCCAGGATCTAAATAGTACTATTTGTAGAAGTTAATTCTCAAGGCAGTTTTTGTTCATATCAGAGATCTCAATCTTAAACACTGTCAAGTGGAAAAAAAAAAAAAAGTTAAATGCTTTGATGTATATAAGGCCTTTTAAAATATCCAAGTTTCAATTCCAGCAACGTATTTTTAAACCTCCTTAATAGTTTGAATTGCTTGACTTGGTGACAATTTTTAAGCCCAGCTGTAAAGAAAATTTTTGCAGATCTGTGCATTCATGACAATTGGACACACTACAAATTTTGTCTTTGAAAAGAAAAAAAAATCCAAATGAACATCAACAAGACCACATAGTTCTGAAGAATTAGTTTGAGCAGCCTATTTATTTTGCAAGTTTTAATCTATTTCAAGATTTCTTCCATGCTATAAGACACATGTTCACAGGGT